GGAGGCCGGCCAGGTGCCCACCTGCGCCCCGCGCCCCGCACCCTGCGCCCCGCGCCTTTGGGGGCGCGGTGCCAGCCCGGAGGGACCTTCCCACGTGTTGCCGACTGGGAAACGGAGCTGGGGCCAAACCCCACCAGAAGCCACTGCGTGCGGGCACTTCGCGTCTTTCTCAATAGAACCCTCAATTTAAGCCAAACTAAAACTCACCACTGTCCAGTCGATTCTAACTCATAATAACCCTGTGAGACAAAATGCCCCTAGAGGGTTTCCAAAGAAACCACTGGTAAATATTTCTTCGTGGGGCCACTGATGGGTTTGAACCCACTTCTGAGCTTTGGGTTAGCAGTCAAACACTTAACCACTGCTCCACCACCAAGGCTCCTTTTGCTCTGGGTCAGAAAGCGTAATCCCTATTTGACAGAGGGGAAAACTGAGGCGCAGACACTCATAGTTCCTCTGGGAACCAAAGACCAGATAGACGACTGGTCCTGGGCAGGACTCCGAGTGTCATATGGAGCATTTTAGAGCTGGAGAAACCGAGGCACAGAGAGATGCCATTTGTCTAAAGCCACATTCACCTACTCGCTCAGTGGCTGGTCCAGCCGGAACTTGAACCCAGGCCTCCTGACAGCCTATATACCTGAGCCTCAGTTTCCCCATCTTAATATCATAGGAGTTGGTTTAGAGTGGAGCTTCATGTGGGCGGGCTTCTGTGAATCCCACAAAGGTGTATTCAAGCATGGAGCACGTGATGTGTGTTTGAGGCATGTGTGAAACGTTGGACGTGTATAAGTATGTGATGCCTGTGTGGAGGTGTGTGGTGACTGTGTGATACACGTGTGCATGACGGGTATGCTGTGTGTGCAGGTGGGTGGTGTGGTGGGTATGTACGAGGTGTGATGTCTGTATAATGAGTGTATGATGTGTGTAACGTGTGTGATGAAGGTGTCATGTATGTAGGATGAGTGTGTGATGCATATGTGTGTATATATGTGACATGTGCATCATTTGTATGATGTGTGTGTGATGAGTGGTGTGTGATGTATGTATTGTATGCATTACATGTGCATGCTAAGTGTGTGATGTATGCAGGATGATTGTGTGTGATACATGGTACATATATGAGTATGGGTGTGTGAATTTGCATGGCGAGTGTGTGATGGCTGCATGACGCGTGCGTGGTGACTTTGTGATGTGTGAAGAGTGTGTGGCACCTGTATGCATGTGGGTGACGGGTGCCACTGGGATAGGAGTCACTGTTTATGTGGAGGAGGCACAGCTGTCACCAGAGATGACAGAAAAACACCCCCTGCAAAAAAAAAAAACTCCAAAAAAACCTGCTTCCAGTTGAGTGGACTCCAGTTCATAGCCACCTTGTAGGACAGAGGGTTTCAGAGGTGGTAAATCTTTTGGCATAAAAGGACTTACCGTTCTCTTGCAGAACAAGTGTGGGTTTGAACTGATAACCTTTCAGTTAGCAGCTCCAAGAGGCTTCTAGTCCCTCCAGCTCTTCTGTGGGGACTGAGGTACAAGGGACAATCCTAAGTGCCCAGCCTCCTGCCATGGCTGGAGTCTCTCAAGGGAGCAAGTAGTGGGAACTGGGTTCAAATACTCCTTCCCTTTCTTAGCCCCTTGGCCAAGCTCTGTCCATCTCCAAGCCACAGATGTCCTTTGGGGAGGATATAGGCACTTCCCTTACAGGACCAAGCTGTGACAGAATGCTGTGGCATGGACTGTCCTCTGTGTAGGCGACCCCTCAAGGACTTCTCATTTCCTCCTTGACATCACCACTGAGCCTGTTTTACTCCCCTGGGTATAGACTGCCTTCTTTCTACATGTGCTGTTTGACACCTACTGTGTGTCGTTTGTTGACCTCTAAATAGTGCAGCCTCACATCTCTGTCTACCTTCACTGGGATTGTTGACAGGAGGGTCTGTCTGAGGTCTCTTTTGGTCAAGATTAAAAAAAAAACATTTATAGAGCACAAGATGGTAAATGTCATTTTTTTGTTAAACTGTGCACTTCTTGTTAGGTGCCATTAAGTGGACTCGCAGTGACCCTGTGAACAACAGATTGGACCCTTGTCCTATCCTGGCCTTGTCACCACCTCCATCACACTTAAGCCCATTTTTGCAGTCTTGGTGTCAATCTATCCTGTTGCGGTCTTCCTCTCTTTCACAGACCCTCTACTTTTCCCCAGCATGATGTCATTTCACAAGACTGGCTCCTCTCGGACAATATGCTCGATGTATGTGACATGAAGCTTCACCATCCTTGCCTCTCAGGGGCACCCTGGTTGTACTTCCTCCAACATGAATTTGTTTGTTCATTTAGCTGGCCATGGTGTGTGCAGTCAATAGGCTTTATCAACACTGCATTGCCCAACTTTCAGATCCATACAAAGCAATTTCACAGACTTAGATCAGGCACAATCAAGTCGTGCTAATGCGAAACCTATACTTGGACCAAGAGGCAGTCATAAGAACAGAGCAAGGAAACAACTGCATGGTTCAAAATTGGGAAGGACGTACGCCAGGGATGTGTCCTGTCTCCATACTTTTTCAACCTGTATGCAGAGCAGATTATCCGGGAGGCTGGGCTCTATGAGGAGAAGTGTGGCCTCAGGATTGGTGGAAGATCTATCAACAGTCGGCGTTATGCAGATGACACAACCCTGCTTGGTGAAACTGAGGAGGACCTGAAGCGCTTGCTGCAGAGGGTCAAGGACTGCAGCCTCCAATATGGATTGAGGCTCAATGTCAAGAAGACAAAGATTCTCACCACTGGACCAATTGGAAGCATCAGGATGGGTGGTGAAGAGATTGAGATTGTATACAGCTTTAGTTTGCTTGGCTCCACAGTCAACACTCTTGGCACCAGCATCCAGGGAATTAAAAGACATATTGCCATGGGAAAGTCTGCTGTTAGGGACCTCTCCAAACTACTGAAGAGCAATGGTGTCTCTCTGGAGACTAAGGTGTGTCTGATACAGTCTTTGCTATCACTTGTTGTGCGTCAGAGAGTTGGACAATGACTAGAGAGGATAGAAGGAGAATCGATGCCTTTGAGCTGTGGTGCTGGAGAAGAGGGTACCATGGACTGCTAGGAAAACAACCAGATTCACCCTGAAAAGGGCTAAACTGGTGGTTCTTTGGAGGCAAGGATTCTGAGGCTTTGTCTAATTTACTTTGGACATGTTGTAAGGAGGTCCCTGGAGAGGGACATCATACTTGGGAGGGTAGAGGGATGGCGCAGGAGGGGAAGGCCCTCTATGAGGTAGATTGACTCAGTGACTGCGGTAATTGAGATGGGTGTGTCAGAGGCAGTGCGACTGGCACAGGACAGAGCAGAGTTTAGGGCTATTGTACATAGGGTCGCTATGAGTCGCAAGCGACTCGACGGCACATAACAACAACAACAACAACAACAACAACAGATAGATCAGGCACACCTTAGTCTTTAAACTGACATCTTTACTCTTTAACATTTTAAAGAGGTCCATGGCAGCACTTGTTTTTACGTACCATAGGGTCAGAACCAACCCATAGCTGACCCTCCAGCGGGTTTTCCAAGGCAGTTAATCGCATGGAAGGAGACTGCCCATCCTTCTCCCATGCAGCAGCTGGTGGCCTCAAACCAGGAGCCTTTGGGATTGCAGCACAGCTTCTTGCCACTAGGGGCAGTACATTTAAGGATAGTTAAATCAACAAGCTTGGCTTGCTGGTGAGGAGTTGTGCTGTCAATCCAAAGGCAGGTGCTTTGAATCCACCAGCTGTTCCATGGGAGAAAGATGGGCAATCTTTTGCTGGGCAATTTACAGGCTCTGAAAACCTGCTGGGGTGTCAGTTATGAATCCGTTGTGCTACTTATCAAGAGCCCTTGAGTTTCTTATGGTTCTAATTCACCAGCAGTTCCAAGGAGAAAGATGGGCAGTCTCCTCCCAGTAAGATTTACAGCCTCAGAAAGTTGCTTAAGGGTCTCTGTGAGTTGGAATTGATTTGACTGCAGCACATTAGTTACTCAGGGGGCACTGGTGGCCTTGAAGACAAGGAGTTGCTCTGCCAATTCAAAGACAGATAGGTTAATCCAGCAGCTGGTAGACGGGGGAAAATGGGCAACCTCTCATGCAATTCACAGCCTCTGAAAATCTACTCGAGGATCAACAATTAGTAGATGCCAAGATGCCAGTGAGCTGAATTGAGTTTTTTCCCTAGTTCAAGAGCAGAAGCCAGTAAATGATAATCAGTGAATCAAATCTGGTCTGCAGCCATTCTTTATAAATAAAGTTTTATTGGGACACAAAATGAAGACATCCCTCCAAGTGGGCGCTCGAAAGGGACTCATATCTCTAGGAAGTAGAAGTGCTGGGCAATGGCTTCCATACTGGGAGGATTTAGAAGGACCGAGAAGCTTCCAGAACCCTTTGCAACGTGTCTGAGATGTTTGTAAGGGCATACAAATAACTTTACTGTTATTGTTGTTGTTAGTGCCACCACGCTGACAGTGACTCATAATGACCCTGTAAACAGGAGATCTGAAACTAGCCCTTCCGGGGACCATCTTCACCATCTGTCATGTTCAAATCCATTGTTACAGTCACCATGTCAATCCCTCTCAGAGAGGGTCTTCCTAGCTTTTGCTGACCCTCTCTCTGCCTTTGCTGACCCTCCCCTCATGAGATCTCTCCAAGATTAGTTCTTCCTAAAATTTTCCTCAAAGTGAGACAAGGTTTAACCATCCTAGACTGCTGGTCACACTTCCTTCCAGATAGACTTATCCACCCC